TCATATTTACTTTCTGTAAGTATGGTAGCGATAGTAAATCAATGTGTTCGGTGAAATTTACATATTGCGCACGTGCAGCTTCGGGATGCGATCGAATAATTTTAGCCCAGTTGACATAAGTCGTAGTGTTTACCGTAATATCTCCATCAAATGTTACAAGGAAAGTTCCCTTCGTTAGTTCCGTCAAGTTCTGGGTTTGTATAGATGCTGGTTGATCGTTGATTACCAGTACGCCATTATCAACTTCCTCAATAGCGGGAACATTATCGGCGGTATTGAATGAGTATGAACAGTTGACGATCAACCAATGCCAATCCCTGGTGTGGAAATAGCGTAGCAACAACTCTCCCACCGATATTGATGACGATGCGTCGACCAGGTAGCACGTGACAACAACAACATCGCTGCAGCGGAAAAGCCAACAGCAAGAGGTAAAATTGCCGAATTTTATTTTGCAAGTCACACGGCAAAACATGTGCAGCAACTGGTAGGTGGTAAGAAAGCGTCAGGTATTTAGGCATAGTCGCCACAATATTTTAGTTAGCAAATTCAGTTGTAATAACTCGGCCGATACAAACGGCTGCTCTTGTGCAAACAAGAGAAATAAAATAACATTAAAACCCAACCAAGTGTTTTAATAAGTTGTACATATGTATGTATGGATATGTAGACATGGGAAAATTTGCGTAAACAGAGAATAGAGGTCGCTTCACATACAACCTTGGCGTTGCGTTGGCGTTGAATTTCAAAGCAGCCGTCCAATACAAAGCAGAAAGATCGCTGCGTCGGTCGCCAGCTGTTGCAAATAAATAAAGGACAAGAAATATAACTTTTCATGCAATTATTGATATGAAATATTGATTTATCTATCGTTAATATGTTAATTTAGTGGCCATAGTAGTCTCTGCCAAGCTTCATTGTAGAACGCATACTTTTAACGTGCGTTCTGGCAAACCAACGCCAACTACAAAGTCAACGCGAAAGTTCTATGTGGACCAGCCTTAATTATCAAATACTGTTTAACACCCCAAATAGAAGTTTGTATTATACTACATCCATATATATCTGTGGGGACTAAACCAGGAATATTCATTTGAAAACGCTAATGTCCTACTCATTTATGAAATGAAAGACAAAATAATGATTTTTATAAATATTATATTCTCACTTATACATATGTAGCATAGTTACTTAGCCGAATTACTTAGTAATTACTTGTATGTAAGAATACAAAGACAAATTATTTATCAGAAGCATTGCCTTCTTCTTCTTCTTCTTTTTTGGCGCTGTAACCGCCTAAGCGATTTTGGCCGAGTTCTGCAAAGCACGCCAGTCGTTTCCCCTCTGTGACAACTGACGCCAATTGGAAACGCCAAGTGAAGCCAAGTCCGTCTCCACCTGATCTTTCCATCGCAGTGGGGGCCTCCCTCTTCCTCTGCTACCATCAGCGGGTTCCGAGTTGAATACTTTCAGAGCTGGAGCGTCGGTCCATTCGAACGACATGGCCAGCCAGCGGAGCCACTGTATTTTAATTCGCTGCACTATGTCCATGTCGTTGTAAAGCTCATACAGCTCATCGTTCCATCATCTGCGGTACTCGCCGTCGCCAACGCGTAAAGGCCCGTAAATCTTCCGCAAAATCTTTCTCTCAAACACTCCAAGAGCCGCCTCATCGGATGTTGTCATTGTCCATGCTTCTGCGCCATATACCAGCACGGGCATGATGAGTGACTTATAGAGCGTGGTTTTCGTACGTCGAGAGAGGACTTTACTCCTGAATTGCCTACTCAGTCCAAAGTAGCACTTGTTGGCAAGAGTGATTCTACGTTGGATTTCAATGCTGACATTATTATCGGAGTTAATGCTGGCTCCCAAGTAAACGAAATTCTCTACTTTCTCGAAATTGGAACTGTCATCAATGACGTGGGTACCAAGGCGGGAATGTGCTGACTGTTTGTTTGATGACAGGAGATACTTCGTCTTGTCCTCGTTTACCACCAGACCCATGCGCTTTGCTTCCCTATCCAACTTGGAAAAGTAGAATAGACTTCGCAGGATTTTGTTACCGATGATGTCGATGTCATCGGCATAAGCCAGCAATTGCACGCTCTTGTAGTAAATTGTTCCTGAGCTGCTTAGTTCTGCAGCTCTTATTATCTTCTCTAACATCAGATTAAAGAAGTCACATGAAAGGGAGTCGCCCTGTCTGAAACCCCGTTTTGTGGCGAACGGCTCGGAGAGGTCTTTTCCAATTCTGACGGAGCTGGTGGTATTGCTCAACGTCATTTTACACAGCCGTATGAGTTTTGAGGGGATGCCAAATTCAGACATAGCGGCGTATAGGCAACTCCTTTTAGTGCTGTCAAAAGCGGCTTTAAAGTCGACAAATAGGTGGTGAGTGTCGATCCTTTTCTCGCGGGTCTTTTCCAAGATTTGGCGTATTGTGAATACCTGGTCTATGGTGGATTTGCCAGGTCTAAAGCCACACTGATAAGGCCCAATCAGTTCATTGACGGTGGGCTTCAGTCTTTCACACAATACGCTCGATAAGACCTTGTAACCTATGCTTAGAAGGCTGATCCCGCGGTAGTTGGCGCGAATGGCGGGGTCACCTTTCTTGTGGATTGGACAGAGCACACTTAAGTTCCAGTCGTCGGGCATGCGTTCATCTGACCATATTCTGCACAAGAGTTGATGCATGCACCTTATCAACTCCTCGCCGCCGTACTTGAATAGCTCAGCTGGCAGGTTGTCAGCTCCAGCAGCTTTGTTGTTTTTTAGCCGCGTTATTGCTATACGTACACATTGCCCCTTACACATTTAAAAATAAAGTAATAGAAGCTCTCAAAAAAGCAAAATCGCTACAGCGAAAAAAGTGTTTGAAAAACCGCATAAATTCAAATCTGCATAAAAAAGAACCGCATAAAAAGAGACCTAACTTATAATTGAAGTTTTATAAGAAATTATTGAACATTAAAAAAAGTATACCTACATAGATATGTATGCACATATGTGCCTACCTAGTAGATAAAACTGGTCAAAATAGAACTCATCTATTCTTCTGTGCATGAGAATATATACATAAATAAATACATACATATGTGTACATATGTATATACATATCTGCATGTGTGCGTACAATCCTTTACTCAAAATTCTTAGTTAATGCAATTTTTATCCAATAAATTTTTGCTGACCAAACAACCCGTTTGCCTGTCTAATCTGCTTGCCTCATTTGCCTCGCTCGTTTACTCGCCTCGCTCGTCTGCTGCTGCAAATGAGTGCCTCGCTCGCAACGTCGCCCTCGCGAGGGCAGAGCTAATGTGGTCCTCGTTTGCTTGCCGCTCTACTCTTGCGCTGCCCTCGTTTCCTTACTCGCTCGCTGGCTGCTCAGCGCGTGCGCCCGTACTTAACGAATGCTCGTTTGCAAACAGCCTCGCTTGTTGCTTGTGAGTTGCGCAAGCTCAGAGCAAACTAACGAGCGAGCGAGGGGCTAAAATGAGGCAAATCCGAACCCTGGCTGTAGCCCAGTTAAGGCGAAATTAGTCAACGACGTATCGTAAACGTACGTTGACACTGATACGATCTACCTTATGGGATTTGGTTAACGAAAACTCACGACCGCATGACGGTGACGTTGCCGTTGCTTCTCTCTCTCTATCAACAGTAAATTTGATATGTTGCTACGTACGTTTACGCTACGTCGTTGACTAATTTCGCTTTAATGCAAGAATAATAGAATACAAGATTGCAGCGATCGAGTTGAGAGCAACCTGGAAGAAGGGACAAGTTGTTCAAAATAGTGATGTAAAACTAGGTAAAATTGTACCTACTCTTAAGCTTTAAACTTGAACGTACATTCGACACAAGCACATTATTTTAGGTACATTTGGAGCGTAGCCAAATAACTTATCGCGAAATTTTCTCTTATTTTCAAAGGCATTTCAACGCATTTTCTAGTGTAGGAATTCCAATAGCCACCCACCTTTGTAAAGGGCATACACATTAGTTAAAACATATGTTTGACTTAAACTGTTTAGAAAAATCCCTTTCAAGGTCATTCATAGTAGAAAAGATTGTTTCATGTAAGTCCAAAAGTAGGTATGGTACAGAAGGAAGATGTAGTCCAGCGACTATCAAAAATGTATACACATAAAAATACGTGTTTACATTTTAGGTTAAGTGTATCTACTTTTATGTACAACTTTTCGGCAAATAGGTACAATTTGAAAATTTTATATTCATCACTAGTGCGAAAAAAAAATATTGTGACATCAGCGAAAGGGTGGATTCTGTCAAATCGACAAAGAGAGGATTAGCGGTCCGCGGACATAAAAACATAAAAAAATATTTTTGTACCAAACGCTCATATCTCTGTTAGTACTTTTATTCTTAATACGTCTAATGTTGTTACACAAAGGGGCCTTGATGTTGTTACACAAAGGGGAGGGGCCTACAGTTTTACGCCGACTCTATATATTTTTTTTTTATATTTTTTGTGATGCTGCTTTGACCAGGGCTTGAACCCAGAACCTACGTAGTAGCGCGCACTGCTAACCACTAAACCACAGCGGCCGCCGTACGTCTGCATTTAAGTAAATGGATATACCTATACTTAATATCTGGTACAAAACGAAATTATGAATTATAATTTTGAATGTAAACGTGAATGGCAATATTATCATCTTTGAATATACATATATGTTCTTTTTGGTTGTTTGTGTTTCCGACAGGGTAGGAGTATGATGTATTGTGGAACGATTTTCCGTCATCCCTTGTCAAATTTGGTTTGGAGACAAACCGGTTTCGGCGTTGTGCCATCTTCAATGTCATTTTTCGTTCTGAATAGTTCGTGTTTCCTTCCGCTTTTTATGTATTCGTGTTACTATCTGTTTTAACTGTCATTAGGTCATGCATACCCATCTAAGTGCGACCGCTTTTGTTTCATTATCTCACAGGTAGGTGCTTTTTGGTTGCTTGTATTCGCCGGCGGGTAGAAATCCGTTATTTTAATTTTCTTGGTTTTCGTGATTGCGTCGGTTTATGTTCCGTTATTTAGCAGGTATTAGGTTGCTTACTTGTGCCGGCATATAGAAATCCGTTATTTTCATTTTCTTGGTCTCTGCGGCGTAGGTATGTATCTTCGCGTTGGCGTTTTTTCCGGGGTCTTCTCATATTTTTCGTACAACATCTTGAGTGGTTCGAATATTACATCGGATACGGTGTTTGTTTGTTCGTTTATAATTCTCCCTTGAAATGTTTTCTGCTTGTATATCTCCATGTTTTCCAATATGTTCAAACGCCGTCCTTTATGCTGTACATGGAGGAGTTTGGCTGCCTTATTAATTTTCATTGGTGTACATTTATTTTCAAACATATGATTTGCGAAGTTTGATTCTGGTGTGACGCTTGGTTTTTGTGTCCTCTTATTGTAGTCTCTTATATGTTCTCGGAATCTTGTTTTAATAATACGGCCAGTTTGCCCTATGTAGCTACACTTGCATTCACACGTTAATTAGTATACACCCTGCTTATCTAGAGTGTCCTCTTCGTTTGTTCTGTTGTTCAGTATCCTTCCGACATTGTTCCTGGTTCTGAACGATGTGCGAATGTTGAATTTTTGGAAAACCTTGGCCAGTTTGTACGTCATTTTACCCGTGTAAGTTAACACTGCCCAAGCTGCATCGTTGTTTTTTTTCTTGTCCCTACTTTTTCGTTTCGAGTCCTTTCTAATTTTGTCCACCAGATCTTTTTTGTATCCATTGTTTCTGGCGATAGCATATATTGTGTCTAGCTCTCTCCTGTGTGCTTCCTTAGTTAACGGGGTTCGCTCAAGTCTAGTTAATAATTGTCTAAATGCTGCGTTTTTGTGTTGTTGTGGGTGGTTAGAGGTTTCATGTATTACTGTGTCGGTCGCTGTGGGCTTTCTGTACATCTCGTATTCCAGTCTGTTGGTGGTCTTGTTTATTTTAATAGTTAGATCCAAATAGTTGAGTTTTCCTTTCTTTTCCTTATCCATCGTGAATGCTATATTTTTGTGTTGTTCATTAAGGTAGTCTAATATCTGCTCCTCTTTGTCCCCCGTTATTATGCATATTATGTCGTCCACATATCTAGCGTAGAAGCTGACCCCTAAATTGGTTGTGAGATGCTCCATATATTTCTCCTCTAGGCTTTGCATGAACACCTCCATGAGTATAGCCGATGTTGGGTTACCCATTCCTAGTCCATTTATTTGCCTGTATATTTTGTTGTTAAATCGGAAATAATTTTGGTTTATCGTAATCTTCAAAGTATTGATGATTTCTTTTGCGATTTTCTTTTCCGTTTTGCCGAGTAATATTCTAAATAAAATATCCATTGTCTCTGTTGTTGGTATTGACGGGTAAAGATCCTTTATATCAAATGATACCAATTTAGTATTATTAGTGATATGTAAGGGCGTCATCTTTTCTATAAACTCTGCCGCGTTTGTGACTATATATTTATTGGGTAACTCTAGTTTGTTCTTTAGTATGGTCTTCAGGTATTTCGAGAGTTTGTATGCCGGAGCCGATATGTAGTTAATAATGGTCTCATCGGGTTATCTGGTTTATGTATTTTAGGTAATGAAATCATTGGAGGGGCCGAAGGGTTCATTGATGTTAGTCTTCCTGCTTCATTCTCATTTATTATCGTTGTCGCCCTTTTTATAGCGCTTCTTATTGCCACTTGGTACTCATCGGTGGGATCATTATTTCCTATTTTCTTGCAGCCTGTTTCTTTTATTACTTGTTCCGTTTTTTCTATATATTCATTTTTATTGATTAATACCGTTGTGTTCCCTTTGTCTGCTTTTGTTGTGATCACGTTGTTCGCCTTTAGTTTTTGTTTAAGAACCCTGATTGTTTTGTTTTCATTACCCTGCTTTCTTTTGTCATTGGATTTTGCATTTTTTTCGATTATATGCCTACATAGGTGCCTGGTGTGATCCTGCTCTTCTTTTGGGATCAATGCTATAGCCATTTCTGTGTCCACAATGGTGTGCTCCATTTCCTTCTTTTTATCATAGTTTGTGATGTTGTGTTTAAGACCTTTCCTCAGTATTTCTGCCTCCTGCTCATTGATAGGGACCGCTGTTAAATTTACAAAATTTGAATGGAATTGCGGTTCTGCTTGTTTTTGGTTCTTTGCGCCCTTTTGTTTTTTACTGAGGTCTTCAAGTTTCTGTACTTCTGCCCCATGACTTTCTTGATGTTTTCCTCCATTTCATCTAATATCTGCATCAGTGTACTGGTTGGTAGGAGTCCCGCTAGTTCTAGGTGAATTGCCAATAGCTCCGAGTTTGTCCGCTCCCTCTTGCCGTGTAGGTTTCTTATTTCGTGGCGAAGAAAGCTGTTTTCTGCTCTTTTTAAGATTCTCCGCTTATTTTCGGTGTTTGATTTTAGTTTTATTTGCGCGAATTTCGGTGTAATATTCAATTCTAAACATTGCTTGTTGAACCAGATGTTAGCCTTAGTAGTATGTACTTTCAGTAGCCGTCTTTGGTATATTATTGGTATGAAGATGGCACAACGCCGAAACCGGTTTGTCTCCAAACCAAATTTGACAAGGGATGACGGAAAATCGTTCCACAATACATCATACATATATGTATTTGCAAGTCGCGCGAAAAGATCCAATTATATGCTCGAAAACTGCATATGCTTCTCTACAACATGCGTCTAATTTCAAGACCTAACGAACCGGTACTCACCCTTTTTACCTTCCTTTTATTAGCTCGGGATGTAACTATGTGATATTGATGCGCCTAAAAGATGCAACGATTTCTATTTTCAAGATACATACCTGATGACAGTACGAATGGCAATTATAACACTATGGGACAGTCAAAATCGGGATGGGATGAAACCAACGGGAAATGTTATATCGGTCAAAAAAAAGTTATACGTTTCCCGGCGTTTCGCTGGGTCACGTCTAGGAATCGAGATATATATATAACTATCATATAGGGGAAATGGTCACCTTTGGTGGTCTTTTTTTGACATAACTCGAGAACCACTAGTCCGATTTTGCTCAAACAAATTAAAAAAAATTAAAAATTACAATTCCTTTAATCTGTTCATATAACGTTTTTCTATATAATCAACAGTTTTGCCGGTAAAAATAAATGTATGAAGAAAAAAAAA